TTCTAATGTTCTAATGTTCTAATGTTCTAATGTTCTAATGTTCTAATTTCACCTCATGCCTCTTCTCCATTTTCAGATATTACTCCATCTCCTTCAGTCTACAGGTTGACCTCTGAAGATAACAAGAATTTGGAAATGTGCCTTATCACGGATTACTCCCCTGAAAAACTTGATCTTAGCTCAGTTGATACGAAGATGGAAACTGTTGTGGAGGTGGCAACATCTGAGAACAAATATGAAGCGAGCTACCTGTCAACCTACTGGGCCAAGAAGGATGAAATGCAGTGTGGTGCCAAGCACGAGGGATTTGGAGTGCTAGGAGATGATCCTGAAGCTGGTAATGTTGTTGTGTGTTCAAGGCTATCCGTGGTCTCTCTGCTGTTAGTATGAACAGGACTTGTTCACATCTCCTAACACTGCAAGCAATGCTGAGCTGTGCTCCGACTCTCTAAAGGAATGGTGTCTTGTTGCCTCTGCTTTCTTTTGTGTTATCGCTTGGTAGAAACAAATGAAGGGTCAGTAGGCTGGGACAGTCACAGCAGAGAGATCTCAAAATCACAACATGGGAGATATAAAGCTTGAAAATCCTTTGCCTGATGGGACACTAAAGTTTAATTACATCTTACTGCACTAATTACATGCCTGCACTGAAAGTAGCGTATGTGAGCTTTTATGGTTTAATGGCCAGAAACTCAAATTCAACCCTTCAAGGTAGAAGCACCTTTGTGAACTTCTGACAAAGTCAATTTCTGTCATTCATTAAATTTCTTGTTACTGTCTGCAGGTGCCAGCACTGTCTGCATTACAGGGATGTCGCCACATTTCAAGACAGGTATGGACACAGCATTTTACAAGGAAAGCTTGATTTAAGAAAACTTCCTAATTTTTTGCTGATGTCCCCTGTTTGCTGGTGTAAGGTACAGATATGTCAGCTTGACTGAAAGCCTGTCCGTATTTCAGAAGAGATGTTTTTCTTTTCGGGTGCACACCTAACAAACCAAAAGATAAGGAGGTGGTTTCTGCAGCGTGTGTGCACTGCAGATACAGTGCATGAGAGTAAGCTCTGCAAGTTCAAAGGAGCTGAGCCTGCTGCTGCACAAGCTGGGTTTGCAGAATAGCTTTACTCTTACAAACATGCAGCCTTGATGGGAAAAAAAAAAAAAAAAGAAAAACCAAGAGGAAAAACAAGAAGCAACAATAACAGCACAGCACACCAACAGCCAGTTAGCCAAATGTTTCCAAAACAGTACTTCAAAAAAAGTACTCATAAGCAAACTTGGCAGATTGGACCAGATGTTTCGGGGAGAGGTTTTGAAAGAGAACTTTAAAATGACATTTTGGTGACCCCATCCTTCTTCTCCAATATAGATCAGTATATTTTCAGGTGAAAATGACATTGTAACTGAGATTTGGGTGTTCAAGAAACGTGTGATGTGGCATTTAAGGACATGGCTTAGTGGGCAATATCAGTGGTAGGTGGATGGTCTTGGGTGCTCTTGGAAGTCTTTTCCAACCTTAATGATTCTATGATTAGCAGAACATCTGAGTAGACTCTGTGTTCTTGGGACAAATTTTAACTTGTTTTCCCTTCTGCCACTCTTAAAAAACTGGAGAGAGGATGGATAGACTCTTCCAGCATCCCTGTTAATAACAACCAAGTGGTTGGCAGTCCTCCTTGCTGTAGAATTAAGCTCATACTGACTGAAAGCCTGGCCCTTGAAAGAGGCTCTCAGTGGGGTGGTTCTGTTCATTGCTTCATTAATGCCCTACCAGCTCGGCCATGCAAAGTGGAAAAAGGTTCGTTAAGAAGTACTGTCAGGTCTGCCTAGAAGTAGGGATGTCACAGTGCTCTTATGACTTTCATTCCTTTTTACTTCAACAGATGAGAACCTGAACATGCTGACCTTCTCACAAATGGGCTTGAAAATAATTTTAATGAAAGCAATCATTTTTAATGTGCTGATGACGATGCTTATGAGGAAAAAAAATGTGAGTATACAAATGGGGTGTTAAGGCCTCTGAGAAAGCACCTGCATCAATTCATTATCTGTGCTCGCTCTCTGCAACTGTTTGTGCAGTTCATTCATACACCTTTTACCTGTAAACTCCCTCCACTTCTTTGCAGATCATTGTGCTGTCATTGTTTTCCCCACTCTTCCAAACTAATCACCCTTCCTTATCTTCATGCAAATTTACCTTCTTTCTAAACATCCCTCCTTTTCCTGCAACCTTCTCCTCACTTGTCTGCACTCATTCTTCAGATTCATCCCCCACTATCTCCAGGTGTGAAAGTTTGATGGCATTGACTTCAAAGTCCTCAGAACTAATATGTTGGTTTTGGCCCAGTGTCTTTTTCCACTTTCTATTGCCCAGATGCTTCAGGTGTACCATTATGTAGCTGTGACTCTACCTTAAATAATGACTTCACTTTGTTTGTTTGTTTTTTACAGGAATGAAAGTAACCAGACAGTACAGATGTGAAGTACCAAAAAAATCTGTTGAAGAATCATTATTGGAGCATTGGGTGCAAGAGGTTCTCCCACTGCAATAGATACCATTGTTTTTTCTGTGTATCACACCAGCCATTATAGTCTAAATTGCTTTGTGTGCATTTTTATGAAGCTACTCAAAAGTATGTTACAATCCTCTGCATTCTGCTCATTCAGCATGACAGTGCCTTTTTTTGCTTTGGTTTGCTTTTTTTGGATGAAGCAGAGATTGCTGTAACTGTGTATTGTCAAACAGCTCTATTACTTGCATTAAAATGACATAAAATTTCTGCCTGAATTGAGTGACACTCTCACTTCTCAATCACTCACCTCTCCATCACAGAAGAACGCTTTTAGCAAAATTTTAATGTTGATGTAGCATTTCTTTAGGCCTATTAAATATCTACTACTGATAATAAGAAACTTGTTCCGGTTTTTTGTAGCTTCTTTCACATGAGCTTTAGGATCCAGGTTAGCCTTTGGGATGAAGGAGGGAAGGGGTGCCGGGAAAGGCAGAACGAAAGTTAGCTACCAGGTACTGTGTGCAGCAATCAGCTTGGCTCGCTGCAGAGGGAACGTCCACAACTCTCAGGACATCGTGACTGTCCCAGAGAGGGAGGGAGAGAGAGGAGAGGAACATCTCCAAGTCTAGTCTCTGTGCTATGTGAAGACAGTGGTAAAACACAGATTGCTAACAGTGAGAGAATCGGAAAGCACTTGAAAGATATTTACTGCGCTAGGGAATGCAGCAGTCTGTAGCATCCCATTCTAAATGTCCTCTGTTCCCTGTAGAATAAGGTGTCTGCCTTGCATTACAGGCATCACTTGACTGGCCTGTCTCTCCAGGTTCAGGCTCTTGCTGACAAGATTGAAAAGGCTTGAGCCTTGCTTGTACCTCACATCACTGCCCATCTAAGTGGTAGAGAAAGCGTTACTATACTGAGAGGCATGATTCTCATGGGATAGCCTAATATCACAGAATCATAGTATGGCTTAGGTTGGAATAGTCCTTAAACATCATCTAGGTCCAATCTCCTGCTGTGGGTAGGGTTGCCAACCCCTAGATCAGGCTGCCCAGAGCCCATCCAACCTGTCCTTAAGCACCTTCAGGGATGAGGCACCCACATCTCTGGGCAGCCTGTGCCCCTCACCACTTTCTGAGTAAGGAACCTCAATCTCCCCTCTTTTAGTTTAAAAGTTCCCTCTTGTCCTATTGCTATTAGACCATGTGAAAAATTAGTTTCCCTCGCGTTTATAAACTCCTTTCAAATGCTGAAAGGCTAAAATAAGGTCTCTGTGTAGCCTTCTCTTTTCTGGACTGAACAAGCCAAACTCCTTTAGTGTGTCTTCACGGGAGAGGTGCTCCAGCCCTCTGATCATCTCTATGGCCCTTCTCTGGACCTGCTCCCACAGTTCCACATCCTTCCTGCTGGGGGCCTCAGGTCTGGACACAGCACTCCAGATGGATCCTCTCAAAAGCAGAGGAGAGGGAGACGATCACCTTCCTTGCCCTGCTGCCACCCCTCATGTGATGCAGCCCAGGATACTGTTGGTCTTCTGCACTGCAAGAGCGCACTGCTGGCTCATTGCGGCTTTTCATCCCCTAGAACCCCCAAGTCCTTCTCCACAGCGCTGCTCAAGGAGTTCCTCTTCCAGCCTGTATATATCTCTGGAACAGTTCCAACCCAACTGCAACACTTTGCACTCGGCCTTGTTGATCCTCATTAGGTTCACTTGGGCCCACTTTTCAAGCCTGTGCAGGTCCCTCCAGATGACATCCCTTCCATATTAACTGCACTGCTCAGTTTGGTGTCATCAGCAAACTTGCTGGGAGTGCACTCGATCCCATCATGTTTATCATTGATAGAATGTTGAAGAGTGCCAGTCTGAAAACAGATCCCTAGGGACACCACTTACCACCAGCATTCACCTGGACATGAACCATTAACCACAACCTCTAGCTGTGGCTATCCAACCAGTTCCTTACCGACCTTGTAGTCCACCCTAAAAATCCATCTCTCTGCAGTTCAGAGAGAAGGATGTTGTGTGGAACCACATCAAATGGCTTGCAGAAATCCAGTTGATGTTCTGTCTTACCTTATCAATTGACACAGAACATTTCTTACTCTGATGGTTTCTGATTTTGGAACAGCTCATATTTCAAATTCTTTCAGTCCAAAGTGCTGGTGTTTGATATGGAGAGGGTTCCTCTGTACAGACCTTGTCAGCACGTCTGCCATGAGTCTGAGTCCACAGTTCTGAGCAGAAAGAAAATAAACTCTTCCTGATCTCCTGCCATGGCGCTGCCACCAGACCTCCTTGCAGACGGCCTGTCACTGAGCCACGCTTACTGGCTGCTGCTACCCAGGGACAGCTTCGAAGTTTTCAGGTCTGTAATTATCCTATGATAGAGACGTTCAGGGGCTCATTCTTAGCAAAAAGTGTCAGCCTCCTTTCCCTCCAGCTGTAGAAAGCCCATGGCTATTTTAACTCTAAATTCCAGCCAGTTTTTGAACCTTCCATTTTGTTCATATGAGGGCTTCTGCATCAAAAGAAAGCTGCTCTTGATGAAACTGCCTAAACCATTTCTGTGTTACAAAGCAAAGCAGCCCCACTTTCATACATTTTCAACAGACTTATTCTGAAACCTCATTCTGAAAACCTTCAGAGATGCAGAAGGTAGGTTTCCATGCTCATTTACCTTAAACACCACTTTTTAATATTATCATTGTGTCGTAATTAGAGCTCTCTCCTAGCCGTAAGGACAGTTAGCAGCCTGTGTTTCCATATCTCAATATTTTCCAGGTTAAACAACCCCATTTATAAGATTTGCTGAGTGAGGGGATGAGTATTTAGCTGAAGTTAAGTGTTTTGACTGAAATGACTCCTAACGTGATCTCCAAAGCACTGAATTTGTGGGTCTAGTTCAAAGGCACTTTCACAGATTAGGGTTTTGATCTCCCACCACCACTATGTACCTTCCTTCTGCTCTCAACTTTGTGGTTTCTTGTTTATTTCAAGAGAGAAAAACCGCAGTGCAAAGCAAAGGCAGGAAATAATACAGTGAGACAGGATGTGGAATGGGTCTCATGGCCCAGGTGGGGCAGGAAAGGGTACCACCACTGGTTCCATGACGTCAGTGCCGAGATCTGGGTCGTCTTTTGATGCTCCTCTGTACTTTACCACAGAAACCTCTTCCTCTGCAAAGTGGGCTGTAAAAGAGTGTGGGGGAGCAGGGCTGGTGTGGCACGTGGCAGGAAGGAGGAGAAGCATGTGGAAAAGAAACAGCAGACGTTAGACCACAAGCCAAAGTTGAGAGAGATAAAGAAACCCCCTCTTCACACCCCCCCACCAGAGCCTGCTCTTCGGGTACGGGGGGAAGTTGTTCTGGGTACAACAGGAAAGACTGAGCTATGTATAGCACAGAAGGAGGAAAGGAGGGGAAAAAATGAATTACAAAGCTTGGTGGGCTGCAATGGGAGATCTTAGAAGAGTGTAAGATTTCTGAATTTGCCAATAGGCCTCTGTACCCCATTATAGAGGCAGTGAATCAATGGAGGAAAATCCTTCCACTTCTGACATAGAAGACAAAGCAGGGAGATGGGGGAGGCCAGAGTCCTCTCATATTGCCAGGAAAGGAGATGTTTCCACAACCTACAGTACATTCTCCCTTGTGCAAGCTCCTGCTCCCTAATGCCTTCCTATGGATTGGAGATAAACTTGCGTCTTTTCTAAGAGTCTGGAGAAAACACCCTGCCCTGTGTTTGCTAACCCTCACTAAACATGGCCCCATACACAATACCACCTCTCTTCTTGCCTTTTTTTTTATGGTGAGCAGTGACCCCAGGAATGGCCTTTCTAAGGAGTAGAGGCTGAAGGTAACCACAGACTTGTTGAAATCATTCAGGTGTGAGAACACTTCAAATAGGACCTGAAGTTTTGGGCTTAGTTTGTAGCAACAAGAGACACCGAAAGCATGTAAACTTAGAAGAAAACAAAAGAAAGTAAGAACAGAACAATAAGGGTTTCTCTCTTCACAGAGGCTCCTGCTCAGTGACCACAGGAGGGCCCCAGTCTCCTCCCCACACTCAAAGAGTGAGGAGAACCAGGCAGGCATACCCACAGGGAGGCACTGGTGTCTTGCAAATCATAGAATCATAGAATGGATGGATTGAAAAGGACACAATGATCATCCAGTTCCAACCCCCTGCTGTGTGCAGGTCGCCAACCAGCAGCCCAAGCTGCCCAGAGCCACATCCAGCCTGGCCTTGAATGCCTCCGGGGATGGAGCATCCACAGCCTCCTTGGGCAACCTATGCCAGTGCCTCACCACCCTCTGGCTGAAAAACTTCCTCCTCATATCCAACCCAAACCTCCCCTGTCTCAACTTAAATCCATTCCCCCTTGTCCCATCACCACCCACCCTCACAAACAGCCGTTCCCCCTCATGTTTATCCGCTCCCTTCAAGCACTGGAAGGCCACCATGAGGTCTCCCCGCAGCCTTCTCTTCTCCAAGCTGAACAAGCCCAGTTCCCTCCACCTTTCCTCACACAGAGCTGCTCCAGCCCTCTGCTCATCTCAGTGCCTCCTCTGGACCCGCTCCCAGAGCTCCACGTCCTTCCTGTGCTGGAGGCCCCAGGCCTGGACGCAGTGCTGCAGATGGGGCCTCACAGGAGCCGAGCAGAGGGGGACGATCACCTCCCTCTCCCTGCTGCCGCCCCTTTTTCATGCAGCCCAGAACACAGCTGGCCTTCTGGGCTGCAGGCGCTCACTGCTGCCTCATGGCCAGCTCCTTGTCCACCAGGACCCCCAGTCCTTCTGCTCAGGGCTGCTCTCAAGGAGATCTTCCTTCAGTTGGTATCAATACCTGGCATTGCCCCGACCCCAGTGCAGCACCCTGCGCTTGGCCGTACTTACCCTCATTAGGTTCACATGGACCCACATCTCCAGCCTGTCCAGGTCCCTCTGAATGCTTCCCTTCCTTCCAATGCATTGCCTGCACCGCTCAGCTTGGTGTCATCACAAACTTGCTGAGGCTGCACTCGGTGCCACCATCTGTCATTGATGAAGATGTTGAAGAGCATCAGTCCCATGACTGACCCCTGAGGGACACCGCTTGTGACACCTGCACCCTGACGCAGAGCCACTGATCACAGCCTTTTGGCTGCATCCAGCCAGCCAATTCCTAATCCATCCAACAGTCCTTCAAATCCACATCTCTCCAATTTAGAGAGAAGGATATGATGAGGGACCATGAGGGCCTTGCAGAAACCTTTGCAAATACAGCAACTGCAGTGGCAAAGGGGAAACCTTGTGTATGTTCCTTCTTCCCTGATGTCTGCCATGGGTCTGGATCAGAAAGCTCTTCTTATGAGAAAAAACACACAGCAATGGCTCATTTACAATTTCTGCATGCACTTGAGTTCTCTGCCTGCTTCCAGCACCGTATTATTGGTACAGAGCTGGTATTGCTATCATAAATAAACGTCATGTCAATGTCAGTCTAATGCAAGTAGATGCAAGCAGTCAGAGCTGGTGTGAAGCTTCTGTTCATGCCACAAACTGACAATATCTTTCAAAACAGTAAAGACCCTGATCCCTCATACCTCACTATTCAATGCTAAGCAAGTGCTTAGGAGCTCCATGTTTTCATTTTCACTGGTTTAACGGCGGTAGCACAGCTGGAAATGCTAGATCAGAAGCTATGGTTTCTCAAACCACAGCCAGTGGTAAATGCTGAAGCTATTGGATCATGCTTTAACACCTCAATGTCAGTAGACAAGAATTCTTTTGTCACATACTGTTACTGTACATGTTTTCTGCTCTGTGTTTCAGCTGCAAACAAAACAGGCGTGAAGAAGAAGGACGAAGCCTCAAGCCTAAAGGTGACCCAGGTTCATTCCTCATCCAAAGATCTGGACAGGTAGCTAGAGTTAATATGCCACCCTGTGCCTGATCTGATCGTTAAAGGGCTCTATTTTCCATCAGAACTAAGAAACAATTGAACTAAAACAGACACTAACTGAGATCAAGAGCCAAAGCCACTGAATGTAAGCATCGCACAAATGTCTTGGAGGCAAGGGATTGTTAAGGTTTAATTTGGGAAGCCTTTGTCCACTGAGCCAGGACAGCTCAAGTAAAGCTCTGTCTCCAAGCTGACACAGCCCGGCAGCCTCTTCCAACATCCTTGGGTTTCTCAGCACTTTGAACTGCAGAAAAACAGTCCTAATTACTACTGAACCTTAATGAGCCTTTACTTCCAACTGGCACACCTAGCTGTGCCCCATACGGCCCTGAGAGATGTGAAAGGGCCTGTGAGAAGATGGGTACATGTGAAGATGTGCTGGAGAACATCTGCAGCTTCCCTTCATTCATGATCACTAACCATAGCCTAAAACAAGTTCTCCATAGCTTTGAAGCCTGGAGGCATGTTGGCAATGTATGATCCATATGATAAAGGGGTACAAAACAGTGATATGAAAAGGGAGGATGATAACTCAGTTTCCATGACAGCTTGTTTCTTGCTTCCCTCTGGAATTAGAGAACATTTAGAGAAAGAAAAAAAAACCCCAAAGGGTACAAGGGAAGGGAAGGAGAAAGGGAGGAGGAAACACCTGAGCAAGAACTTAAGCATCACGAGAAACTCTCTGTCACAAACAGGTAAAAAAGACTGCAGGGCTTTAAAATGAAGGGCTTTATTTAAAGAAATAATTACAGTAACTGGAATGAGGCAGCAGACCACTCCATAGGACAGTCTGTGGGGATAATCTTTGACTTCTGCTTCTCCTCTTTCTCATCAAAGCAGCAGCTACTGCTGGAAAACACGACTTCCCTCTAACAAGATTTGGCATTCGAGTTCTAGAAGAATTCAAGGCCTGGAAAGAAAGAAAGATAACGTGAAGAATTCATCTGCAAAGGAAGAAAAAAAATACACCACAAACTTTAACAACAGAGCACGCTCTCCCCATTCTGGTATCAAACTCTCCCTATTCTTAACTCTCTTCTCTCATCTGCTGATAAACTTCACACTTAGACACCAGCCATTTCACAGTCTCTCCACAGGACAGCCCTCAAGGACAGAGCCTCAAAGTCTCAGCCCAGAAAGTTCCTTCTGCATAGAAAAATGGAGGTATTTTTAATCTAAGAGTGAAATATGGTTAGGTTTCTGTGACTCACCTAGTTAAAGTGACTTTTAAATAAGCAAAAAAAAAAAAATCACAAAAACAAAAAGCAGTAAGACTTACCCCTATATGAACATAAAGAACAATGGATTGTACTTGCTCGTGAGAAAGCTTGGGAGCTTTCTAGTTTTCTCCCAGATCTACAAAAGCATAGAAAGTGTTGTCCCTTTCTATGGCCCAATGGATCAGTACCTCAGACTCTTCTAGGGTTCAGCCAACAAAATTGATAACGACGAGATGCAGGATGGTGTTGGCAAAGAGGAAATCGGCGAATGCCCGCTCTGGTGAAATGCCTTGGAACTCGGCTTTGTTCTGGGGGTTAATCTGGATCCTGAGACAAACTGTATGGAAGAGAGAAAATGGTACATCAGAGATCACAAAGGGAATTCTTGGCATGAAGCATGGCCTTGCTAAGGCAGTCCACCCTGGTCCAGGTCATTGTTCCTCCAAGATATAACAAGCGAAACCAACTTCATCATTGTTACAAGAAAGGCAGAACACTGACAGGGGATTTGCATGCGGCTGACAGGCAGCCAGTTCTCTCACAGCACTGCACTATTAGAGATGGCCATGGAAAATCTGAAGGAAGTGGGCTTACAAATGGATTGGCTTGGCACAGTCAAGGAGCCAGTAAAACACTGTAGGTTGTGCTGGGAAGGGCTGCGCAGGGACAAGATGTTTTTAAAAGGGTGCATTTTAGGGGAGCACCATCCTGAAGCAGTTATTTCTAGAGTTGGGTTCACTGTAGGATGAACACTAAGGAAAGAAATCAATACACAATGGTAAAAGGGAAGATTCTCTGACCACCCTGGAGAAGGAGGGACACATGGGGCTCAAGAGGAGCTGCGCTGTGTGGTGCACAAACGTAAGTTTACAGTCTGCTGCAGACCATCTTGCTGGGGGGCAGTTGCTATGGCAACTTTCTGGTTTCTAGAGAGGGTATGGAATTACCCAAGGAATGCCAAGCAGCAGCACTGCCTGGTTACTGGACAAGCTGGGGGCTGCTGATCCCTGGGCTGGGGGTTTGGCCAAGGGGGGTCTGCAGTTGGTGTCAGAGCTGTCATCCAAAGGGACCCTGACAAGCTCAAAAGGTGGGCCCACATAAACCTAATAACATTCAACAAAGCCAAGTGCAAAGTGCTGCACTTGAGTCAGAGCAATCCCAGATACGTACACAGTCTGGGAGAAGTTCCTGAGAGCAACCCTGTGAAGAAGGATTTGGGGGTCTTGGAAGAGGAAAACCTTAACATGAGCCAGCAGTGTGCACCTGCATCCCAGAAGGCCAGCAGTTTCCTGAGCTGCATCAAAAGAGGGGAGCCATCAGGGTGAGTGAGGGAGGTGATTGTCCCCCTTTGCTCTGCCTTTGGGAGACCCCATTGGAGTACTGCATCCAGGTTTGGGGCCTCAACACAAGAAAGATGTGGAGTTTTGGAGAGGGTCCAAAGGAGGGCCGTGAGGGCTGGAGCACCTCTCCTATAAATTCAGATGGGGGGAACTGGTCTTGTTCAGTCTGGAGAAGAGAAGACTGTGGGGAGACCTCATTGTGGCCTTCCAATATTTAAAGGGAGATTATAAACAGGAAGGAAATCAACTTTTTACATAGTTAGTGATAGACGAGGGAAAACAATTTTAAACTAAAAGAGGGGATGAGATGTCACAAATTTTTCACAGAGAAGGTGGTGAGGAGCTGGAACAGGCTGCCCAGAAAAGCTGTGGGTGCCCCACTCATGGAGGTGATCAAAGGCCAGGCTGGACGGGGCCACTGGCAATCTGACCTGGTGGTTGCAACCAGCCCACACAGAGGGGCTGAAACTAGGTGATCTCTGAGACCCCTTCCAACACAAGCTGTTCCTACGTGTTTCTATGTGGCCGTTACTGAGGGAGCTCCGATAGCTACGGGGCTTCGTGCACTGCGGGGAGCTCCCTGCGTGCTGCGGGAGCTTCGGGCAGCGCCACGGAGAAATCCTAACGGCACGCCGTGGGCGTCGGGGGCAACCGCGCGGGGTTCTCACTGACCGCCGAGGATGAAGCTGCCGACGGCGGAGATAAAGCCGCTGAGGAAGGAGTTGAAGGGAAAGGTGCCGACACCCAGGCAGTAGCCAAACTGGAGCGCCCCGGTGAGCATCACGTACAACAGGTATGCGTCCAGCACCTTGAGGCGGCTCGACGTGCCGCTACCGTACTCCGCCAGGAAGCGCCGCACCACAGAACCTACAGAGCCCGCAGCTCCCGAACCCGCCGCGCCCGACATGATGCCGCCCCTAGGCAAGCTGAGGTGGCCGGAAAAAGAATGGATAAGCTTCCGGGACACAGCCGAACAACGCGGGCGCGTGGCCAGGTCACTTCCGGGTCAGAGATAGTGCGCAGGCGTAGTTGTCCTGCCCACAAAAGGGCGGAACTGAGGTGTTACTAGAGATAATACGCATGCGCATAACTACGTGCCGGACTGGCTTTTTTTTTTTTTTTTTTTTTTAACCGGCGCGTGCGCAGAGGCCCGCCAGCCTCCAGAGGCGGTGGGGTTGCTTGTCGGGACGCGGCGTGGGATTCCTCTGTGTTTCTCTACAGCGCCTGGCACGCTGAAGTCCCAGCAGTCCTGCAGAAAGCTGAGACCTGAGTGTGGGGGTTTTCCCAGTCTTAATCTGCAGTGCCCAGTATGGGGCCGAGGACTTTTCTCCCCAGCCCGTTGTCTGTTTTTGGGGCATCTCTGGGAATATTCACATTCTTTCTGGTCAGCACAGCAGCGGCGAGATGTCTGTGAAGATGTCCAAACGCCATCCTTCCTCCAGATGCCCGCAACTGTTACTTTTGTGTGGGTCCCTTCATATTTATGTCCAGAGAGAAGCATTGTGGTGATGGGGTGATGGTTGCAGTTGGTGATCTTAGAGTTTTTTTCTAACCCTAATGATTCTATGATTGTATGATTGAGAACTGCGGTGTTTCCTCTCCACCTTACCCAGCTCTCTGCAGTAAGGGAGTACAGAAAATGTATCTCCTCCAGGTCCACCAACAATTCTCCCTGGGTTGGTTTATCTCATACCTGGACCAGGAGCCTCCTGGATAGTTTGCAGACCACCATGTTGCTTTCCCAGCAGATATCCAGGTGGTTGAAATCCCTCATCAGGATGAGAGCTTGTGAAGATGATGCCTGTAGTTGAAGCAAGAAGTTCTCATCAGCAGGATTCTCTTGATCAGGCAGCCTATAGCAGGTCGTGACCACCAAATGTCCTGTCTTGGCACAGTCCCTAATTTTTACTCACAAGCTCTCAACCTATTTATGGCTGGTTTTTTTAGAGGCAGTCCTTTGCAATCTATCCATTCCTTCACACAAAGCGCAAAGCCCCAGCTTCTCTTTCCCTTCTGAAAAACATGCAGCCCTCATTTGCGGTGTTCCACTTGTGTGATTGTCATGCCTACATGCCATGGTCTATGTAAGATCCCTACACACATAACTTCATATAGTCACAGTTCCTTTCTTCTCTGGCTAATGCTTCACACTTTCCTCCTCAGCTGATGACGTATTGTGGCAGATTCCCATTCGATCAGAACAAGAGTTGATACTGATATCAAGTATGTTCACTTGCAGTTTTGGGTCTGCTCACAGTTTAGCAGTGAGTGGCTGCATGAGCAGATAGTGAACTGGGGAAGGAGCATCATTTAGCACATGCTTGTGGTAAACTGCTTGCTAATGGATTGTAATTGCTAATGCTTGAGCTTCAGGAATAAAAGTCTCCTATACCCCTTCCTAGGGTTTTCCCAGCATTGCAGATGAGCACGTTAATATATCTTTCTCATTATTTAGAATTTTTTTAAAGAAATGAAGACGCTTAAGGAGAGCACCTAGATGGTCCACAGAAATCCTGGGATGGACAGCTGCTCAAGATGATGATTCACCCAAACTGAAATACATATTTCTTTTAGGCTGGGACTGTGACTGGAGATGCTGAAAACAGGCACGATTAGAAGAGCTTACCCTACTGTATGCTATGATGACTTTCCAGACTTTCAGGAGGGAAAGCTTCTAGGCAGGGGCAGAACTAAACCACATTTTCACCTCTCGTTCCCTGTATGTAAGGACCTACTGGCTACACCAGAATACTCCAGAGTATCTTGAGCAAATACTGCACTTTCCTCTAATTTTCAGGATAAAGCCATGATTTTCCTGGTGCCTGGGCATGAGAACCCAGGTCTGAGTGTCACTTTTTTCACCCCATATGCCTTGTCTCCCTTTTCATTCTGGAAACCCTTACCTCACAGGAAGACCAACAGAAGGTTCAGCTCTTTCATTTTTCCTTCCATAACCTGAGCTCTGGATCTAAAACACTGGAATGCTTTAGCCACTTCCAGCTTTCCTTGTGGTATAGAAATAATCCATTTTTTGGGAAGTGTCTCCTTTGACATTTCAGGGATGGAACGATAGATGATTGTTTTTCTGCATTTTGCACTTGTCTGTTCCAGACAGAAAAGATGAGTCTTAAAGGAAGAACAGTGTTTATTTTGGGAATCACTTAGTGCAATGGAGTGAAAACGTTAAAGCTGTAAAGGTAGATCATTAACAAACCAGTAACTTTCCTGCTGTAGCTAGAATAAATCAGCTATCAACCATCAGCCTGGGCAGATGCTGCTACAGCTAAGATCAAGGCTTTGTCACATGTTGTAGCTTGCAGAAAATTCACTGTTTATTGGAAGATGAATCAGAAACTTTGCCAACATGGACGGCAGGAAGTGTGGTGCAGCACATTCTCAGTGGGAGCTATGGTTACTATGCCTTTTGTCAACACCTCTAAACATTCATCTTTTCTAGTGTGCATGGCAGTCCTGTATCAAGAGAGAAGCCATCTGTGAGCAGGCCAGTAGCCCATTTTGCCAAAGCTGGATTTGGAAAGGGCCATCACTCCATGAAAAAAGTTATGCTTCCCTTCCACTCCCACCTCCAGCTAAAACAAGCATGGTGGAGGTTGTGAACTATGTTTTCTGTTGTGCTCAGCATGATGCAGATGCAGCCCAGCCAGTAGGAGACATCTCACAAATAATGAGAATTCATCTCTTATCCTAGCTGGTAGCAGCAGTGGGGTTACAGCATGGCAGGTAAATTTAAGCTATGCTTTGTGGTCCTATTATTTTCCACAGGTGCTGATGTTCTGTACGCTGATATTGAGCTCATTGCCTAAAGATGCTTGGATTCACACTGATCCCAAGGAGGGTGTTACTTGCCTCCAGGCACTTGTCCAGCTGAGACACTGCAGTGAAGGAGAGATGGGGAGCGAGGCAGGAAGGAGGGCCCACAGAAGGAAAGGAGAAAGAGGACATAGGACTATTTCACCTGCCCTCAGGAAATTGAGGTCCTGTAAAGGGGTAAGGCAAGTGCCATTGGAGAGAATGGGAAGGAGGCTCTGCTGTGTAGATCTGCAGGAAAAGGACCCTCAAGGCTTACCAGCTCGGTTGCACAGCCAGGTTACAGCCTTTGCCTCCAGCAAGTCATACATCTCGTGGCAATGCCTGCTGTGTCTCTGCAGCCAGGTCACAGCCAGCACTGTCGCCCAGAAACTAGGCTCCATGACCTGTAGGAGAACAGTGAGTGACACTGCTGCACATCCTCCCTGACCCTCACTCCTTCCCACCCTGTCTTTTGTGGCTAGTGGTTTATGATCCTTTCACTGGTTCTCCCTGCTCCAGGACTAAATGCTGCCTCCAGAAAGGACCCTCCTCTTGCCTCACCAGGCATCTTTCCCTTGATTTCAGCCTCATCAACCTGTAGCACAGAAGCTAAATCTGAGCTGAGGGTCCAGGAGCCATCCACATTCTGCAGTGCCACCAGCTCTCTGCACTCAGCAATGGCATCACTCATCCACAGCCCAGAAATTGTAGAGCACAAAACAAATCTTGTAGAATCCACATACTTGAGAGAGGAAATTGATGGTGGCATCTGTTTAGGTGCTGTGAAACAAGACATGAACAGGGAATCACAGGAAGATGATTCCTCTCCATTCCCGTGTGCAGTGCCCCAGAACACTTCTCTCTACTCTTCCTCGGGCAGCTGCCTGCAGACTGAGGCCCTCCCTGCATGTCCTCAATGTAGTCTTGTCCCCAGCCCTTTTTGGACATCCCTCACTCATCCCTCTTCCCTTGACATTTCTGCCCAGCCAGGTGCCCCAGTGGTCTCCTGACATCCTAAACAGATATCGTCCAAATGTGCTTTCATGCTGAAGCACTGGCCCTGACACTTCTATGGGCGTCCTTGACCTGGATCCTACGATTGCTGAAGGACTTTCAGCTTTAAGAATAATTAAGGGAAAACTCAAACTCATTAGTTTCAAGACCAAGAGCAAGACGTGTAGAAAAGCAAAGTAACACTCCTATCAGACATTAATTAATCCCTGTATTTCCTATCTGTGTCAAAGTCCTATACTTTCTTTGTGAGCCCCAAGCTGGAATAAGTTAACAATGCCATTGGTGAGTTGCTTGATGGCAGTCCATGACTCCTGCAGTGCAGTGTGCCAGCTAGGTGGGTACCATATGGTCTTAGGAAAGCAGGAAGTGCCAGTGAGGGAGCCATGAAGCAAAAGGATCTTGCAGGGAACGAATGACTGGCGAGGTGGCAGCAGTGCCAGGGGCCTTTCGAGAGCAAAGAGGGAAAGGGTCTAAATTAAGGTCATGGGGAAGAAGCACCTGTTGATGATGGGGCTTATGCATGTTGTGGCTGGACTTCTGGCTCCTGTGGAATGAGAACAACACATGGAAATACCTCTCCAGTTCTTTTCCCCAAGTGTCTTTCCTTACCATGGTACCAGGGGGCCCTCCGTGATATACGTACACCCACATAGCTGGTGAAGGGGCAGATGATCCCAGATGTGAGACTGATTTCGATGGCACGCTGCACTGGTTCATCCCCTGATCCGCTCGCAACCTCTGGCAACAGCTTCTCCAGCAAATATCTTGCAGCCAGACGATGACCATCCATCCTGGGGACAGAGTGAGGTGAGGCCTGACATCCTGGGGAAGAAAGGGCCTGGGTTCTCTCCTTTCAGGAGTGAGGATGGGCAGAGGGAAGACCTGGATGCATGGACCCTTTTGTCTTGGAGGAAGTGATGCCCATGTACCTGGGTCCTGTCCACGTGGGTTCAAAACAGGGAAGGAGACCATGCTTGGAGAACTGGATTCTCTCCCAGTTTGGCGTGGTGTGTGGAAGCTGTGAATGTGTGAGCTATCTGTGTCCTGCTCAGCTGGAGTCCACGTGCAGAAAACAAGGAGATGCTCTTACCGGCCATCTCCCTGTGGGCATAGTGGGAACTGGATCTTGTGAGTGACGACCTGGCCATCCAGGTTGAACTGCAAGGTCATGACACCACTGGCCTCCTTCATATTCTGGAAACACATGTGAAATTACTGGAGACACAGATGGCTGCTGGGGGATATTTGGAAGTTACTGGAAGATTACCAGTGGTTATTGGGAGGTCATTGGAAGGTAACTGTAGTTAACTGGGATGGTAGCCCCAGCTCTCACCTGTTCCTTTCCATGGATCTGTGCATAGAGGAAGATGTGCTGACTCTGAAAGATGAACTGAGGGGTGCCTCCCAGCACCTCAACCCCCAGGCCAGAGGGCAAAGTCCAGTCCAGAGAGACTCCCTCAGCTACTAGCTTGAGGGCCTGCTTCAAGCATTTCAGCACCTGGGGAAAAATGGCAGGACACCACAATCTGGGAACTCCGTTAGAGTTCAGCATGTGGTCCCTCTGGGTTCTTAGTGGACACGGATATGATTGGTGTTCCAGTGTTGGCTGGGGTAGAGTTAATTTTCTTCCTAAGAGCTGACACAGTGCTGCATGTTGGATTTAGGATGAGAATCATGTTAATAACACGTTGATATTTTAGTTGTTGCCACGCAGTGCTTACATTAAGTCAAGGATTTTTCAGTTCCTCAGACTGCCCTGCCAGCAAGAAGACTGGGGAAACACAAGGAGCTGGGAGGGGGTAAGACCAGGACAACCAACCCAAACCAGCCAAAGGGATATTCCATACCAAATGGCATTGTGCTAAATGATAACACTGGGAGGGGGGAGCTAAATGATAACACTGGCTGCGGCAAGGAGAGACTGCTGTCTGGGGACTGGCTGGGCGGTGAGCAACAGCATTGTGCATCACTTGTTCTGTATATTCTTTTATTATTTATTATTATTATTATTATTATTATTATTATTATTATTATTATTTTCCCTTTGTTTTCTGTCCTGCTAAACTGCTGTTATCTCAACTCATGTGTTTTCCTTTTCTTTCAGTTTTCTCCCACATCCCACTGGTGGAGACTGAGCAAAGGACTGCATGTTGCTTTGCTGCCTGCCAGGTTAACCACAGCAGATGGCCTGCACCAGCTAGCTTTCCTGGGAGAAGTCAGGTCTGTGAGCTATAGCAGGGAAGAAGCCTGTTGTAAGAAGAAGCCAGGTACACCTACCTGCTGTAGGGAACCTGCTTTGGCAGGGGGGTTGGACTCGATGATCTCTGGAGGTCCCTTCCAACCCCTACAATTCTGTGATTCTGTGATTCTCTGTGAAGCCTGGGCATTGGGTTTCTCAGTGGAGTGAGGCAGTTGGGTAGAGTCAGGGAAGCCTGGGTGCCTGGGTGCCCAGGGGCAGCTGGGTCTTGGCTGCCATTAGTGGGTTGTCCAAGAATCCGGAAGGCTGTGCATTTGTGGAACAGAGGGCAGCAACCAGGGCTTCCAGGTTCCTACCTGAACTGTCGCATTGTCAAAAGAAACATAGACAACTTCACCCTTTGTCTCCCTGGCAAGGGCTGTGGCCAGGGTAGCACTGTCCGTGGAAAAAAACACAAGGAGAAACACCTATTGCAGAAGCAAGGAAAGGCTTCAGAAATGGGAGCCAAGCATAGATGCAAGCATGCAGGGAAAAGAGCTAGAGAATACTGGAGTTATAGCTGGGGATACAAATCTGGGGTGCAGAACAAGAGGGCAGGAGGAATGTCAGCGAGTGGACTGAAGGACTGGGATTGGAGCTGGCGTTAGACAGGGAGCTGTCAGAGGAGAGCTGGAGCTTGGGGCAGATCTGGGGCCAGTCTAGTGGGGTGGTACAGGAGTGTACAACCCTGTACCTCAATCTCCCTGCTCACTTTGTGAAGGGTGCCTTGGGTATGGGAGTATTAAGCAAGGACTCCCCAGTGGAGGTTTTGATACAGGATAGAGAATCATAGAATCATAGAATCATAGAATGGCCTGGGTTGAAAAGGACCTCAGAGATCATCTAGTTTCAACCCCCCTGCTTCAGGCAGGGTCACCAACCACTAGACCAGGCTACCTAAAGCCACGTCCAGCCTGGCCTTAAATGCATCCAGGGGCATCCACAACCTCCCTGGGAAACCTGTTCCAGTGCATCAACACCAGAGTGAAAATCTCTTGGGATGGCAGGTACAGTGTGTTTGCACATCTCACTGGGAATTGCTTGTTCTGATGTGCACTGTAGGCTCAGGTCTCTGCAGATCAGCAACTGCCCCTGCTCCTTGTTCTGAGAGCAGCTGCATGCCTGCCCTGTGTTGATCTGGGCTCCTGCACTGCTGGGCTCCTCTGTGGTGCTCCTGCAGCAGAAATCTTCATTGCTGCTCCCTTATTTTTCCATGCCATCCCTTCTTCACAGAGTGCCCCTTCCCTTGTTCTACCCCCACCCACCCCCCACACTATTGGGAATCTAAAATCTTCAGTAACAACCCTTTGGAGAAGTACCATGGTGTGCTGCCTCTCCCATATTCTCTGTAAGAACCTTATTCTGCCCTTAACCCTTGAGTGGCTTGTGCAAGCATTTTGGAGGTGAAGCAGTCTTGCACTTGGCTGTCCCCACAGCTGGCAGCTTATAAATCTGGCTCTGTGATACATTTTAGTGTTAATAAACCAAGACATGTTTAAAATAATCCCAAATATAGATAGATAGAGCTATGAGGTGAGAAAAGTCTCTGGACAGTGAATGGGCCGAAGGACTGAGACGGGTGAACAGAGATCCTCATCCATGATGGGAAGAGATCGTGGACTGACTGAAAAACTGAGGGCAGAGCCCCCATTACCGGTGGCTGTTGCGATGACGGCAGACCTCAGCAGCAATGGCTTCCTTGTCAGGTGGCAGCCCAGACATGAAGATGAAGAGCTGGGGGACAGGAGACATCAGTGGTGAGCCTTTGCACAAGAACCTCCAAATGGGGACAGCAGGTCCCTGAAATGGGGAGAAGGGTCCAGGAGAGAGATCCCCTGTAGAGAAGCTACCCTCAGAGAGATATCCGCTCAGGGACAGAGACCCCTTGAGATGCAGAACCATTTTTTCTGCACTCTTCTACACCTCACAGTATCCTTCTTGTTCACCTATGACCAGCATTCCCCTTAGGTTGCTAAGTCCACTCCACCCTCCATCCCCCATTTCCTATGTTCTCTCTGTGCCCCTGGGACATCTATCCTTCCATCCTTCCATGGCCCTGTGCCCAGACCTGGTGTGCATGTCCGCAGGGGCGGGGAGTGTTGTAGACTGTGCGGGAGAGTTCCCAGCAGGTCTGTGTCATCCAGCCTGGAGCCAATTGTGGGAATGAGTTGCATTGCTTCATTCAGGTTGTCCTGGGTGTATTCAACACTCTGCCTGCAGCAGACAAATGTGTTTGGAGAGCACATTCATAGAATCATGGAATGGTTTGGGTTATAAGGGACCTTGAAGATCATTGAGCTCCAACACCCCTGCCATGAGCATGCTTGCCAACGTGGCCCTGTGCTGGTCCCAGTGCTCTCTGAGACCCACTACCATACCTGTACCCCATCATTTTCTGCAAGACCCTGCCCCCTACTAGTTCATAAAGAGATCTGGAGTCCTAGTTTCTACAAGACTCTTCTCAATAGAACCATAAGAGATGCTCTCCCATACTGCCACAAAGAATCCCCAGAATCCAGCCCTGCCCTCCAGTACTGCCTCCAGTCACGCCTTCCAGTACCCAACATTGCCCCATACCAATCAGCATATTTCAGAGCATCCCAGTCTGCTCTCTGACATCTCATTCCGCCTCATAACATCTATCATAATCCCATAGTACCCAGCCATGCTCTGCAGTATTGAGCTTTGCCCACCAGCTACATAACACTCATCCTGCCCCATGTTTGCTTACGGGTAGATGCGCACAGATGTTGCTCCATAGCAGTAAATGTTGAAGTAGCAGCCCAGGGGTAGGCTTTTGAGAAGGAAGAGCAAGGGGTCCTGTGGAAAGACAAAGCAGGCTTGTCTTGGATGATACTGGTGGGGAATACAGATGCCCTGGTCCTTAGATTTGTCCTGCCAAATCTCAGGCTCTGCTCCCTCTCAGCCTACTCTTTCACTCCAGTTTGGCCCCCGCTTTGTGAAGGTACCTGTGTGTGCTCAAGGGAAGTGCTGTCCAAAACAAAGATGAACTCTCCAGACTGGCACTGGCCAGGTTTTGCATCAGGGATGTTGGGTGCCAGTGTCACCAACACCAGGGAATCACCAAATAGAGTGCCTGGAGGAGATACACAGTGCAATGAAGCGCAGTTTGGGATCGCTTTCCTCATCCTGGTTCTGTTCCTCATTGTTCTCTCAGCATCCACCATCCCAGAGACCCTGATACCCCATACTGGTGCACTGATACTCTACTGCACTGTCCACCAATTGCACAGCCCAGTGTCCCATCAGCTCAGTGCCTCCAATACAGTTGCCCAGTGAGCCCTAATATAAAGTTCCTTGTACCCATCCTGGTAGATCTAGTACTTCATGACAGTGTACCCAGCACCTCCCCCCCCCCCCCCCCCCCAGGAGCCCTAAGACCCCACCAACTCACCATGTAGTCCAATGAAGCCTCTCATCCCACAGTCCCCACTGTCTCCCTGTGCCCCAGCACCGCCTGATACCCAGAGGTGCTCCTGCATTCCCTCTTCAACTGAACTCACCTGCAGTGGCTGCAGGGTTTCCTTTCTCCACCACAGCACTGACTGCAGTAGGTTCTCTGTAATACACCAGCAGCTCCAAATGGTGATTTGGGGGAGTGCCAGCCAGTGAGACCTGGAGAAGGGTTGCCTGGTCTTACGCAGGAGGAAGTGACTCAGGCCCAGCATAATGCTGGGAGCACAGCACTGATCCCAGTGCATTCCTTGTGGCTCAGTAGTGATGCCACCTGACAGCTCCCAGAATTCTGGAATTCAGCAGGGTGTACCTGTGCAGCACTGTGGTCCTGGGCAGTGTAGATCAAAGGAGTGAGGGCACAGTTGGCCCGGACATCAGCCACACCACGGGGTGACTGCAGGCTGACAGTGAGCAGGAGGCTGTAATGCAGCTTGTCGGTGCGACAATTGCAGGCTGTGGGCAGAAATATAGCATAAAGGAGAGCACTGGCTCTCCATGCAGTGCGTGTGGGATTTGGCATCCATATATAGAACATGTGGAGAGAACTGAGGATGTCAGTAAATTTTTGGAAGTGTCTCTGAGTTTATTTATGGGGAACTCATGAGGGAGATACGGATCCACTTCAAAACACACAAGGAAGAAAGCACAGATCTGCTCAGGGGCTGCATTGTGGCAAAATATCAGTGGGTGCAAAGGAGGTTGCATTGTGTCTGTTCACAGAGTGAACTGGGAGTGTGGTTCTTCTCTAGGGCACGTGACTGTCAGGGCAGGTTTCTTTTAGGATTACTCACTGTAGTGAGTCTTGCAAGGATGCATTGTGGATGGCAGCACAAACTGGGCTGCTCCATCTGGCTTCCGTGATAGCTCTTGGACATAGTGTAGGGTCACAACCATTTCCTTGCCAGGGGACAGGGAACCCAGGAAGCAGGCAAACACCTCGCCTGATTCCTCAACCCCATACTGAAGGTAATGAAAATTCTCCTCCACTGCAAACTTGTGCAGCCGCTGGGCCTGGATGGGAAGGAGAGGAACAGAAAGCTGATCGCTAACCAGGCCATGGGCTGCTCATCCCATGCTGCTCTCACGGTTCTCCCATTCTTTCCCAAATGCTGGTACCTCATCCTGCAGCACAGCCTTGACCTTGGCATCCTCACTGCAGGCCTGGAAGGAATAAATGGCCATATGGGGGCCCAGGGGGAAGACAAAAGTAACTTCTGAGGATCTCAGACTCTCATTATGGTAGATCAGTTCAGAGACCACGTCAGCTACATAGTCCTGGATGGCAACATCCACCACAGCACTAGAGAGGGGCAGTGAGCACAGGGGTACGTAGAACTCCTTTCCCAATGAAAAGGATCCTGGTTCTGTTGAGAGAGTTGCAACCTTTCCATCCAAACCCACGAACAACACACTGCTTCAAGAGTGTGGCTTCACATTATGGAATGTGAAGCTGACAGTTCAGTGTTGCACAAGGAGAGATTCTCCCCCCTCAAGGGCAAAAGGGAATCATAAGTCGTTGTGCATGGATTAGATATAGCATTGTTGAGGATCTAATATAAGCCTGCCATAAGAAATTTCATCTGCTTGTGTATCCCAGTTTCTTTTCCCCATCAATGCCTCTGTTCCCCACCCCAATGTAGACCTCTTCACCATTCCCATCCTTGTTTCCCTTCACAAGATCCAGTCCAGACATTTCCCACTACAGCAACCTATCCTCCTCCTTTCTTTACCTCTTTTTGAGGGCATCCCCTATCCCCTAAATGTCCCTCAGCTGTCCGATTCCCCCCTCACCATTGATGTTGCTTTTTCCTAAAAGTCCAAAGCTCTGATGCCACATCTCTGGAGACCTGCAGACAGGAAGGGGTCTCATGTAAGAGGAGAGATCCACAAACACCACCAGGCAACCTCTGGGTGGTCAAGATTCCTTGTAATTTCACCATGCTTACATACAAGCCTGGAGGCCCTAAGCCACTGTGCATAACCAGAGCAAATCCAGGGATTCAGAAATCCCTGTTCATAAAGACTAACCAGGAGTATAATTGCATTAAAGAGGTCTGCACCTCATTCCCATCATGGGAGAATTCTGAAGAGAAATGAAGAATAGCAAAAGGAGATAAAAGGAAAGAAGGTGTGAAAGCAAGAGTGGATGGGTGGATGGGCGAGTGGATGGATGGGGGGCAATACATATCTGCATGGGATCCATTTGGGGACAGGCAGATGCAGAAGTATACAGAGGTAAGAATTTTTGTTAAATAGATGGACGGGTGGATGGATGGACCAACAAGTGGATGGAAGAATGGATAGGTGGATGGGTGGATGGATTGGATGGATGGATGGATGGATGGATGGATGGATGGATGGATGGATGGATGGATGGATGGATGAGAAGGTGGACGGATCCATTTTAGAAGAGATGAGTGGGTACCCATCATAAACAGTATAGCGTGAATATAGCTGCACAAGGGATTGCACCTGTGAAGTATATTCGTGGAGTAACTCACAAGGGCAGACTGAAAGGCCAGGCGGTGTGGAGGAACATAATGGAGAGAGAATTTAAGCCAGGGTCAGGTATTCCATGGTGGCAGAGCAAATAAATCCCGGAAAGGCACCAGTGGGAGGGTGTTGTTAAATAATGTTTTGCTGCCCTCTGGCAAAGTATCTGCAGATGAATGGGCTTCCTCAGCTCTACCCAAACCCAACCATATGTCTCTCTGATACGGATACATTTGCCTCACTTCCCACAGTTCCTGCTCTGAGGTGGCAGGATGAGCAGCATCAGAAAAATTCCCACTCTGCCATCATGCCGACAGCGGACAGGCAGAGCAAATAGCGTGCACATCCTCTGGGAAGTAGGGATGAGGAATGGTCAGAGGGATTAACTGAATAGGGTCAATCTCATCCCAGTGAGTGGAGACAGTGAACAGAGAACAGAGAGAAAGTAACAAACTGAAGGACAAACAAGCAGACGCTCACCGGAATAATGGCCTAGGTCATCAGCTGGGACGAGACAGACAGTCAGATGTAGGGAAGGAGAGATGAAAGGAAAACAAGGATAGAGAGTAAGAGGCAGATGGATGATATTTGAGGCGGAAGGGGGAGGGAATAAGAGACGGAGCAAGAGATGTTCAGGCAGATAGGAAGATGCAGGGCTACGTAAATGCGGGGACGTCTGCAGTGAAGACAGAGGAGAAAGGGCGGAGAGACGAGAGGACGGACGAGGGGAGGTGGGCAGGGGCGGGGACAGGCGAGCGGCGGGGACAGGCGAGCGGGGGGGGGGGGACATCTCCAGGGCGGGGAATGTCTTCCTCTGCTGCGGGATGCTCCTTGCACACAGGCTTGTGTGCATAGGCACACCCAGCACTCGTTCCCCAAAGGAAGCTGCTGCAAATCGCTCAGCAGGACTGCTGCTGGCCGAGCAGCTTCTGCCAAACCTCTTGCCGCCCAGCTCTTCTGCTGTGCCTTCACGTCTGATGCAATTAACATTAACTGCCAAGGGCATCTGCAGACAGAGTGGTGATTGGTGTGTGCCTGAGGCAATGGCATTCCTCCTTCTGCAGTCGCCTCATCGCCAGATTTGGAGGCTAGGCTCAGGTCCGTATACTTACTAGTGCTGGGCTGCTAGTTGAGTGAGGGGTTGCAAAGCTGCAAGCCCAACATTCTGTCCAGCTGAAAAAGAGAGAGAACTGGTAGGTGTACCCAAACTCACAAATCTCCTTTTGACTTGAGTGTCCTCCGTCCTTGCCAGACAGCTTCCTCGCATAAGCCAGCTCCATATTCATGCCTTCTTGGCAGCAGCTTGACACAATCCTCCTCATTTGTGGTCTACAGGTGCTCAAGAGGCCAAATCACATCTGACTTCAGATGCTTTTATCCCAGAGCATACCCTAATTGTCTCTTTTCTATGAGTATGCATAGCATTGAACTTTCTCACTGTCTAATGGTGTTGTTCAAATGCTTCTTGAACTCTGAGAGGCTCTGTGCCATGACTGCTTCTTTGGGGAGCCTGTCCTAGTACCTAACTACCCTCTCAGGGAAGAACTTTTTCCTAATACACGATTTGAACTTCCTCCGATGTAACCTAATGTAATTCCCTCAGGTCCTAAAGTATAGCATCCCAGCTGTAGATGCTGCTTGCTGTACCCAAGGAACTAGAAAACCATGCCCATGGTGTGAGAGTTAGAACTAGATGATCTTTAAGGTCCCTTCCAACCAAAGCCATTCTAAAATTCTATGATTCTATGATTTTATGAACTAATGAATGACGGATGCTTAAAAGACCTCCAACTTGATGGAGACCACTCAGTGTCCATGAATGGACACTTGGGTGCTGGACCCCTGGCATCTCTCTCCAGAGCATCTGTGGAGGTTGTCCACCATCCCAGTTGAAGAGCTAAGGTCTTCTTTTGAAGAGCAAAGGAATGACACCGGGACTTAATGTGACATAATCTGGTCAGATCCTCATTTACTGTCAGTCTGCACAAGATATCAGAGGCTGTTAAATCCAAAGTAGGAAGCAGTCAGATGATGGCTGACCTTGGCCTGGTCTAGCGGTTGGTGACCTTGTCCATGGCAGGGGGGTTGAACATGGATGATCATTAATGGTCCTTTTCAACCCAGGCCATTCTATGATTCTATGATTCTGTGATTCTGTGATTCTATGATTCTGTGATTCTGTAATTCTATGACACCAGTCCCAGCTGTTGACAATGATGTAAAGAGTTGGCTTCTGCTGCTGAAGGCATAATTGTAGTCATCTCTCACAATCCTTTCTCATGAACACACACACATGTATGCATATACACACTCTGAAGTTCTCTGTCATTTCACATACTGGGGGAACCAAGTTGGCACCCCAGACACGAGTTCTTATTGAAGTTCTAGCTTGTCTGGCATGGCAGCACTCAGCAGTAGTGTGACTTCATTCAGATGGTCCACTGTTTACCTCCATTCTCCACCATCCTTCCCCACAGGCCTTATGGGACTAATGTGAAGAGTGGGCGAGTCTTGCTGTTCACTCCTTGCCTCTCCAGTCAATGAATCAGCTTATGGATGGGGATCAGGGAGTTTCAGTTGGTGAGATATTGCACCAGTGCACAACAGTAGTAGTGATCAGCTCGTGTTTTTCTTCAACTCTCAGCAGCCCCACAGTGGAAGGATCTTTTGAGAGTCCAAACAAGGTAGACAGCTGTTTCGTGTCCTCCTCCTCCAAAGCAGCTATATTTCAATACAGCTTTCAAGTGCACCCACTGGGGTCCTACCTCCTGAGGTAGTCTATGATAAGGATTCACGGAACATCCAGACTAGTCACAATGGGGTGCTTCTGCCACTCCTTCCCTGGTGGTCTCACTTTGGCCTCCACTACAATTAGCTGTTGGGATTTCCATGTCATGCCAGAAAAACAGGTGGGTTCTGTCCATTTACAGCTTGGTGGCATTAGAGTGCATCAGCATTGACTAGAGCCTTAAACATCACGGGTCTGATGTGCCAGGCCATTGAATCCACGCAGTTGGACAGACTCAGCTGTCTGATTCCTCCACCTGCTGGAGGCAGGATACCTCTAGTCCTGACTGTAGTATCCATCTTGTGTTCATCCTTGTAAATGCAAATCACAAGTCCCTTCTTTATGTTCAGAAGTAAGATCAGCCCATCTAACCTGCCTGGATAACTGATGACTAGAAACCACTGTGGCAATTTTCTTGGGAGAACTCCTTTTGTGATTGTTTTTCTTGCAGCTCCATTGCATGTCAATATTCTATATCCCCTTCAGCATGGTTAATTCCTTCATGTACTGAATACTTTTTCTGCATAGTGGTCAACTTGCCTGGGCTACACGCCAGCTCTTTCTTGAAGGGATGTCTTTCCTTCCTGGCTGACAAGAGTCACCTCCAGAGGCTGAAGGCTTGTCTCCCTTTTGCAATTTCTTTGTCTTCGCCATCTTTCCTACAGAGGAATCCAAGGGATATTCTTGCACATCTTGTAGCTCACCCATGGTTTGGGGTCAGATGGTTACTGCCTCCTTTATAAGTTCTACCTCCTGTTCTTGTCACTGTCCAGCTTATTGGAAGCCTTTCTCACCCTCTCCTTCTAACCTCTTCTTAGTAGAAGTTACTTTCCTTACAAAATGAGGTGAAAAACTTCACAACCATTGTTTCATCTTATGTAAAGGAGCAGCTGATACTTGCAAAGGTTTGTTGTCTTTTTGAAGGAGGGGTTGGAGCAGTCACAGGGCCTGTCACAGAGTTTGGGGAAACTGCAGGGCTTCTTACAAGGGTTGGAGACACAGCATGGCCTGTGGAGCAACTGCAGATCCTGTTGCAGGGGCTGGAGCAGCGGCAAGGCCTGTCACAAGAGTTGGTGCAGTGTTGAGTGTGGCTCAGCAGGAACTCCAGCTCCAGAGACAGTAAATAGCACAAGGATCATATGCCATATAGTCTCTGAAATCTAAATCTAAATCTAAATCTAAATATAAATATAAATAATATAAATAACATTGTGACCAGCAGCTATTAAATGACAGTAATATAAAAATGTTTGAACATGCTCTGGTCATGTTGTTATCTCAAGCCTTTGTGCCCCACGTTGGGTTTCAGAAAGCACTGCTGTGGTTTAACGTAGCAGGCAGCTCAGCACCACACAGCTGTTCACTCCTCTCTTGATGTGGGATGAGCAGGGCAGTCTGAGAAGCTGGGAAGTCCTTGCCTTAGTGTAAATACTACTCAACAATAGCCAAAATGGCAGTGCGTTATCAACGTTGTTCTCATCCTAGTTCCAAAGCACAGTAAAATTCCATCTCTTAGGAAGAAAGCCAACTCTATCCCCACCAGAAGCAGGACGCCTTCATATTTGCCCTAAAGAGACATTGCACAGGTG